CCTTTGTACGAAAAAAGTAAGAGAAATTTAGGAKAAGAATATGAACATGTTCTTGCATGGGGCYCAATGAGTCTACTTGGATTCTTCTAAATTTTGTACAGATTTAAAAAAACAGCATGTACCTGCAATTTAGCAGCAACGGGTGTGAAAATGTGATCTCAGATAATCTGGCATCAAATAATGAATCATCAGTACAAGGTTGAGGAACCTGTCAGAGAAACACAAAAAAAGAAGAATGATCTAAGGAGTCTGAGCTTTACAGACAAACAGATGCAACATGTAAAAATAACTTTGGTTACAATTTTATTGTTTTAAAGAACTACCAAACTGGTTTCAAGATTCCCAAGATTACATACAAAGTTAAAAACAAACAAAAAAATGATGAAAATTTATTTTAAAAGATTTGTGGCTTGACACCAGTAAATATTTGGAGTAAACAACATTAGTAACCATAAAAAACTATGTTAGAGACGTCCAATTATATAATATCATAGTATAATAGTAAAAATAAACATTAGGTTTATTCACAATTCTACATTAAGTTCGCATTTACTTTGCTGCAGGTAAAACATACAAAATAAATAAATAAAAAAAAAACACTGCCTGGGATTAAAAAAATGCGGTCACGACTCCGCGCCACGTGAACGAGGACAACGGGTGCCTCCAATGTGGGAGGGGCCAGCGGTAAAACAACAAAATCAGAAATAATAATGCTACTAATTTTTCTGAATTCTACTTCAAAGGGAAAAGTTCGTGTTCGATATGTCAACCGAAACAGACCTCATTCGGTTCAGTAGTTAATGCTCCAGATTAAAAATCTGCACACGGCCTTCAAAACTCAGTRGTCCTGCACGCGAACTAAGCACGTGCAAATCAATAAAATTAGCACGTTGTCAAGTAAACCGCAAAACAATAAAATGCAAGATAAATATTGACTCGTCTTCCTTAAACGATTCAACTAATGATCAAAACATTCCGCCGCCAAACCACCAACCTGTTCGATATGGTAAACTTACTGCATACGCACGCTATCGCAACAGAGCCAATTGTTACAAAAAGACAAATCACTTATCTATATAACGTGAACCAGCGATGAGAGTTTACATCATTCGTCTTTATAATCAAAGTTGGTGGGGGTTTTTTTTCTAGCAGCGTAGAAGTGAAGGTTGCAACGCGCAAGCTTMAGCTAACCTCGTTAGCAAGCTAAAGGCCACATCCTTCTAGTACTACATTCAACATTGTTAGGTATTCAATCAAACTAAAGCCACAGAGCCTACAAGGAAACTATATTAGACATTTGCTCAACCGAACGGGTATTGATTAATTTGAGAAGCCAAATTACGTTTTGACTGCAAATACACACATATAAAACGAAACAGCTAACATCAAGTGTGCGATTCCGCCTCAACGCTAAAACCTGCATTATGACAACCTACGCAGTACTGCACACACTGGACCGTGACTACATCCTACAAACTGTAAATGACACGTAATTTGAACATTCAGTGTTTTATCCTACCCACCTATATACTAAAATACTGACGACGTGCCCTCGTTTTGRTCAGTCCTCCATTTTCCATTCCTCTTGGATCTAACTGACTGCGGCAGATGGCTGACTGACTGATACGGAAAATGTTTGTTTTGGAGCGCCCCCACTGGCCGGGAGGAGAACTGCACCAACAATGCTGATGTTGGGCGTGTGGGTCTGTTCTGGGCAATAAATACATTTGTTTATTCAGAAAATCAAAATATACACATAAATAAATGCTTTTTACGTTAACAGAGTCAGAAAAAGGCCAATTGTCAAATTTTTGCTCACAGATTGCACAATAACTGAATTAATCCCAGTATAATCATTGAGACAGCTGGTTTTAAAATGCATTTATAGCTTCCTTTAAAGTGTACAACAGACAAGATTTGGAAAAACAAAAACAAGGAATACAAAACAGGTAGTTCACAGACATTGCTGCCAGCAGTCCAATATCTATTTTACATTTAAGATGGTTCAGTAACATTGATTACATTTTTCTAATTTTTAACTGTTTTATAATTGTGTATGTTTTACAACGCCAGTGCATGCTCTTAGGTTTTTAAATCAAACAGCTTTAGTTGTGCATATAGCATCTTTTTTTTTTAATTTCCCCTCTCTGGAGATGCTGTTTGTCTTGTACCATTACCTTTTTACATAGAGGCAGTATGAGAGCCTGTAAAGGCCAAAAGAGAACTGTAAAAAACATCTGAGTTGTTTGTTTAAAACAGGCTCTTGAACAGAATAACTCGGACATATACTTGCAACTATATATTTAAAAAAAACAAAGTTAATTTACTTCTTAGATTCATGTTACGACAAAGTTACAGCAACACTGTCAGCGGTCTTCTCCGTATCACAATCCTTGTCTGAAGATGCAGAAATTGGTGTGTCTCTGAAAGAATTTGGGACACTGCTATTCTGCCCTTGACCTTTGTTTGGGAGGTCAGCTGTTGGCTCAGCCTCAGGTTCTTGCTGTGCAGCTGTGGCTACGAGTAAAAGAAAATGTTAATATATATATTACAGCTGTAAAAAAGCAATGTCTCAGATGTGATCAGTTTTACTCAGTGGTGTTGATCTTGACACATACGGTTACCTGACTGAGTGCAGGACTTCATGTGCTCCGGCCAGTGGGCTTGCTGACAGGGGTAATCACAGTAGCTGGTGTTCCAGCAGCAGTAGAAGATGGCCTCTTTCCTGCAGTTTGCACACCACTGCTTCTTCTTTGTCTCATCCACAGCCTGCTGCTTCTCCAGCTCCATCTGCTTCTTCACCTCCGACAACAACCTCTCCCTCTCCTGCTCCAGACTCTGCCTCATCTCCGCCATCGTCAGCTCTGCGGAGCACAACACAAGCACCGACCAAAAACACAAACTTGTGACATCTTTTTTTTTTTTGAGGGGGAGGGGGTCCATCTTTTCCAACTGATTAATGATCTTCTCACCAAGGTTGTGCTTCATTTCTGACAACTCTTGTTGGTGCAACCACTGCAATTTTTCTATTTCAATTCTCAGTCGTTTTATCTGTAGGAAATACATAAACGTATGTCAGAATTTTTAAAAAGTGTCACCATAAAGTAATTTTGGAGACRTTTTGGGGAAGCCTACACACATACTTCTGCAATTGTGTTCCCTGAAGTATTCTGAGAGAGGTCATTGTAGATTTCAGTCATTGTCCCTTTGATTGCATCCACTATCTGAAAAATATCAAAGTTTTTATTAMTAAAATGTGTCTTTAAAATATATATTTGTGACCCATCACATCCAAATTTAGTCAAAAAGGCCTAATTCCAATATTACTGCCTTTAAAAGCTACATTTTGGATCATCCTGATAGGAATGGTTCCTGACATGTGACTTAATATGTCTTGTTAATCACAATAATACATTAATATTTGGTCTKGATCCTATTTTTATGTATCTTTATTGAGAATTTTTTTAAGTTATTATAAAAATAGTATTTGAATATTGAGATTTCCTCGCTGGGAAAAAACAAAAGCCTTGTTAGGTGACAGGGAAAATATCAAAATTTCAAGGCATTTTTGCTCAAAATCATCATTTTTTTTCTTGCTAATGCTCAAAAAAGTGCTTCAAAAATTGTTCTAGGATTATATTTCAAACAGGTGATTTACATTATTTATGATAAGGCATTTGTTCTTTATATTTCAACAAAATTCAATCATTGCAAACATTTTAATCAAAACATTTTTCCCATCTCTCCCACTTTGAGACTTAATCCTCRGTTCGATGTGATGGGTCACATTTGATCTTTACCAGCCTCAAAATGAGYTGACCTAAGACACACCTCAGAAAAGAGGTGAAAGAGGGGCTTTTGCAGTTACAAAGAGGGGGAATTCAGATCAAAGCATTGCAKTTCCACTTTATRTAGACCCCAACTGAAAGATTTAAATGTGAAAAAGAAGRATTTGAAAGCATATGAACACTTTAAAGGCATAAAAAGCAAWGGTTCATCCAATAAAACAACTAGCYAACARGGACTGCTGTGAAATGACTCTTCAGACTTTTCCTTTAGCATAAAGTAWGGGTCAATGAAAAAAGGTGGAACTAACTTTATTTGTGTACTTGGCGATGTCTGCAGCCACATCTGCTGAGGCAGTGGGGATRTATGGATCTGTTGACCCCGGTGACGATGTAGCAGCTGCGCCTAAACTCGAACCTGGACTGCTGGACACCACGGTGACAGCTGCAGACGTGCTGAATGGAGGGTCTTTTTGCTGTACAGCTAGAGCCAAGAACACCAGCGGCATTAGGACAAGTAGCTGGACGGTGTGAAGCGTTTAACCAAAACCCTAATAGTTACCCTTAACAGCTTGTCTGGTCTGGTAGCGTGTGCTTTGGGAAGACGGCTGTGACGAGGACGATGAGGCTGCCGTGGAGCCRTTTCCGGCTGCCTGAGCCTGGCCCTGCCTGGGAGATGACTCCTGTGTGTGGGGGGCCACCACAAGCTGTTGGGTTTGCTGCTGGCGCTGCACCTTCTGCATGTGCCACTTCTGAGACGAGGTCTCAAACTTGGCGGTGGGATTCCACACCACGGCTCTCTGAACCACGGGCACCGTCTCTCTGGGCAGCAGAGGACGTTGCTTCTTCAACGTRGGTGTGGTGGAGGCTGAGGAGGAAGACGACGGTGTCGTGGTGTTGCTGGAGAGGGACACGTGGCTTATTGTCGCTGGGGAGGAAGCGGTAAGGGTGACCATAGTAACAGGAATGGCCACGATAGGCTGTGTTACAGTGGAGGGTGTGGAAGTGGCTGTGCTGTTTGGAAGAACTGACGGAGCTTTACCTTCAAAGAAAAAATAAAMTGAATTATTTTTATGTTTTATAAGYTTTTCACTTTTTATTGTGGACTGTTGCRACGCTTACCTTCGGATTTTCCAGCTGCTGAATCGTTACTGTCTTTTCTGCTCTTCCTCCTTTCTTTTCCACCCTGTTCTTCTCCGAGATCAATAACTAGCTCTCTTTCTGAGTCAGAGTCCTCAAGCGCCACGCTCTGCCTCGTCTCTTCTTTCACCTGAGTCTTTTCTCTGGCAGCAGGTGATCCCGGAGCWGCTTTGGTCATATCTGGGTTATCCTTTTCCAAATCTGTGTTTGAGTTCTCTTCAGCTTGGCCATCAGGAAGTGTTGCACTGGAATCATCTGCTGCAGGTTCCTTGGATTCAAGTAAATCAGTTTTATGATCCTCTGCTTGGCTTGGGAGAGGCTGGTCTTTTGCTTTCGTTTTGGTAGGCTCCTTCTGAGGTTCCTTAGTGGGTGAAGTATCTTGGTCTCCCTTGGTTTTTGTCTCCTCATCGCTGGCAGACTCACTCTCACTGGAGTCCGATTTATCAGAGTCCTCAGAGTCACTGTGGTCCACACCTTTGTACTCATCCACAGAAATCTCATCAATACCTGCAAAATAAGAAGGAGCTGTCACAATACAGAGCAGGATCGTTCTATCTAGTTCATCAACAAAGTCAAGAAGACATCAAATAGGCAAAGCAACCAAAAAGTTTATCAAGAAAGAATTGCTACAAAGAAAGTTCTTGGGATTGTCACTAACCAAGCTGCGCTTTGCAACTTTCAATTGTCTTGTCTAAGTTTAGCTGGAAACGACTCTTGATCCGCCTTTTTGGGGAGGTGAGGCTTGGTGTGGCTCCTTGTTTCTGCTGGACTGTTTCACTCAGCTCCTTCAGGTCCATTTCAGCTTTACTTCGATCTGAAACAATTTTGAGAATCAAAGTTTTCAAGAACTTCAGCAGGTGAGAAGGTTTGTGTTTCAGATCTTTGCAGCAATCTCTATTTAATTAAAAAGACTAAACACCAATAACTATTTTTGTTATTTTAAGAAAGAGTAAAGTATTTACCCAGATTCAGGTTTAGAATGCTTCCTGTCTGTGGTGTCTTCTCCTGCTTGGAGACACCAGGAGACTGGGACTGGAAAGATTTGGGGATGTCCAGGGAATTGCCTTAAGGACACACGTAAGAATGAGCAAGTGGAGATATTCACTTTGTATTTAAGTTTTTGAAAAGGGTTTAAAACAGGGCTATTCAACTGGCGGCCCGCGGGCTGGAGTGACCAGAATTCATCCCGTCAATTGGTTCATTCATCTCTTAAGCCCAAAACCTTGGTTTTCTACTTTAMTTGCTATGATTTCTTTTAGTTAGAYATAGACATGTTTGGTATCTACAGAAACATCAAAATCTTGGCTAGAAGCTGGTAAAAACATTTTAATGAACACTCAAGACAGATAAAATTACAATCAGTTGAAGATAAAATTATGAAAGTGAAAATAAATTGGTTTAAAAATTTGGCAAGTCAGAAATGTTAAAATAATATTTGTATCAAATATGAGGCATAATGTGTTCTTTTTGTTTTTGATATTGTTTAATTATCACTACTTTTATAGGATTCTAATTGTTGTATTCATGATTAAATACAGCAAAAGAAATACTATTTCAAAGGTAACAGATCTTTGTAATACATGGTTTATTTACATAATGACTTTAATTGCTGGATGTTCGGCCCCTCAGCTGTTGATCTGTATTACCTGTGGCCTCCGGAGCAATTTAGTTGAATAGCCCTGAATTAAAACATGCTATGATATAATTACAAGCAAACACAAAACAGGCACATTCAAAATATTTACAGTGTATTTTTCCGAAATTTTAACTCTTTTGATAATGTATTAAACATAGTTATTTAAACTACTTAACATCTGTTTATTATAAATATGTAGATTTGTCATTCATACAGGCCAAGAGTATTTAAGGTTAGGGTTATCAAAGTACTAGAATTTCAAACTAAGAATCATTTCCCAGAAAAGTACGCAGTTTTTGCTACAAATTTTTTACACCAAATCTCCAAACAAACCTCTTCTATATAAACTTCTGGAGTGCAAGATGTGGGTACACTGTCCAAGTTATATTTTGCTGCAAACTTATAATTTTTTATTTTTATGTTTCATTTGATTGTCATTTACACCTCAAGGTGCACCTTGAGTAGTAAATGACACATCAAAGTGAACTCTTCTGTACCTGTACAGTCAGTAGACTCTTCTCCTGTGCTGTACTGACTGTTAGCACTTTTTGCCTGGGACTTGTCTTCTGTTTTTTCCTGTTCCCCATCRGAACCTGTGTGAACAGATGAGTTGGTGCTCATGGGGGAGCGAGGCACATCACCTTGAGGGGGCTGCCGTCCTGTTGTGCCCCCTCTTACCTCTGAGCCAGGCAGCACGGTTCTGGTCAGAGCGATTTTGGGGGATGCGGTCATGTCAAATGACAACTTGATCTTCTCCTGTTTYTCAGGTTTAATGGCAGTGGAAGAAGGGTTGGAAGTGTCCAGAAGCAGCTGGAAGTTATTGTCAGGAGTGTAGGGTGTCCTGAAGGGAGCATAATTAAACACTCCAAACTTCTTTCTCATGTTCTCCACGTAGACCTCCATTTCTTGCATGGCACTGTTGAAGATGCTTTTGGTCTTCTTCACGGAGAAGGCAATCTCTTTAGACATGAGGTAGCAGTTGTTTAAAGGAACCCACGCCCTGAAAGATAAACAAAATGATGTCACAAGTCTAAAATACACCTTCATGTGTTGATCTTTATTTGGTTGTTGCTTCGAGGGACTCAGTAAATCTCATGATGCATCTCAGTAATCCAGGTAGAAAAAATCAAAAAGAAACAATAAGTAGGTCCTCCGGATGGGACTCATCGGACTGAAGAAGTCTCTTGGACAAGAGACGTRACGTTTCACTAAAGAACCCATCCAGAGGACMTATTTATTTTTTCTTTTTGACTCAGTAAATCAACTGCCTGCATCTCACCCTGTCTTGTTCTGTCACACCAACTGTCGTCCTTCACTACGTCCATGCACCTTTTTCTGTGGTCTTCCTCTCTTCATCCTACCTGGCAGCACACATCCACACTATCTCAACCATGCCTCTCTTTTGCCCCTTTTCCACYAGCGTCTCTACAGCATGGTTCGACTTGGCTCATCACGGTTCCAAGGTTTTTCCACTAGCAAGGATCTGAAAACTTTGYTGTGKTGCARGTGTACCGTGCTGGCCTGAAAATGCRACGKCAGAAGACTGTCGGCCACTAAYTGGTTAGGGGATGGAGTCACTGGTTGCATCWCAAGAGCTACCCTCATWTAACARCCCAGTCTGCCATTTGCAAWAAYAACACTGTCCTCCGTTGTTGTATTGTATATCTTTTCAGTGTTTTCTTCTTCTATGTTTAAYRGTGGCTGGCAAAYAGCTTAATGAAGTATAACCCCCACCAGCTGGTAAGGCGTGTGGTGTCAATAGCCGTGTTTCCATCCAATTTTAATTCGAATTTTGAGCGAATTTTTAAAATTTCGCGAAAAGGAAAAAACAAAGAAATGTGAATCAGACGTGTTTCCATCAACTGGCTTGAAGCGAATCAGTTACGTCAGACGCATGCGTGTAGTAAATAGGAAGTAAAAGTCGCATCTCAGGGAAATGGAGAGAAGTTATCAGGAATGTGTTGCTACTGTCGGGAAAGTTGTAATTATTCTGTCATCAACTACTTTTTGTGATTTTACATGTGGTCGGGAGATGTAGAGAAAGAAATGCAATTATTTTCACATTACGGGAGTAACTGCGAATACGCCGACAGCAGGATGAGGTTCCAGCTGCAGTCATGGCTGCAGTCGCTCTGGTACCGGGACCGGTTTCAGACAGACAGCAGGAACAGCTGGTCAACGTGTGAGGTAAATGTTCGCTATGTCAGACCTGATTCGAAAAATGTGTTTCCAACTCTCTTTTTGTTCATCAACTCTTTTTTGAAAAACCCAAAAACCACCTCAAACGAGCGTATCAACTTTGATGCGAATTAGAGGAAGTTTTTTCGAATCATGCCGTTTCCTTCACCTTTTCTGATGCAATACTTCAAAATGCGCATTAAAAAACCTTGATGGAAACACAGCTACCGTTCGGACTCTGGGACCGCCCAACTTTACGATGACCCCACCTACTAGAGCTGTTAGTGAGGTGTAATGAAAAACCACTCGAACTGTGCTAGCTGACTGAATTTCCTCTTCTGCAAAGCATACTTTCACCTCCCCAGGCTCTCTTCCACTTGCTCCATACTTTCACTATAGAWATAGCTACCACATACAAGAAGGCAAGAACATAGGATCCTTCAAGTGCAGGTACATGGTACAAATTTAGTTGATACCTGTCATGCTGGCCGAAGAAGCGAGCGTCCACTTGTCCATCCTTGTCCCGCAGCGCTTTGGCAGGCCAGAAAGGAAATCCTTTTAATTTGGCCCACACAAGAGGATGTGGGTTACTCTGCAGACAAACAAGTATTCTGGTGATTTGTTTTAGAAGTAAGTATATAAGTAACTGGTGTCATGAAGCTTCAGGTAACTCAGCTAGCTTACACAAGGCTCACAGAACCAGTTGTCTCTCTTTTGGCAGGCAGACAGATAACATTCAGGACAAACCTCAATTTCATTCATCTGCAAAAGAGTAGAAATGTTAAAGAAGGCAAGAATAACTGAGAATAAAACCTAAAACAACAACAACAAAAAAGACRGTGCTTGCTTACTTCATGTTCACAGATTTTTACGATCACTTTAGCTGTTGCTGTGAGTTTGTGATTGGCTGAAATGAATAAAAACAGAGTTAAAAACTTACAGGTTATTATATCCTTAATAAAAATTATTAATGGTGAAGTGCAGTATTGCGGATAATAGTTACTTTTGATTGATTTTAATTACTAAAGTTTTTTTAAATATGCAATGCTCTCAGTACATTGTGACATAATATGAATCTTGCAACTCTTTTTTAAAAAATTTAGCACGAGATGTAATGGAAAAATACCTTTTGCATTCTTATTTAGGCCAAATAGGTTATGATATGCCTTACTGACCCAAAGACATCAGCTTTATTGTCTTTACCCTGTTCTTATTTTATTAYAGGGATTTTTTGGTCAGAACAAAATCTGCTGTAATTTATCACTTTCATTTTACTTTGGTCCAGAACAGCACCTGGAATRATGTGATTGTTAAAATAACACCTGTATGTTAAACAGTACAGTTGGTCATTAGGACTGCCTGTCAGCACACATCTTGACTGAGAACTGTGATGGTTTTGTGCTGATTTTTGTGTCGCAATAAACAACTCAGACCTGTGAAGCAACTTTATCCTTTAAAACACATATTTCTGTACCTTGTTAAATAAATAATTTCCACAACAATGTTATTGTTGTCAACACAAGATACAGCCTACCTCCATTGTATATAATACAGTTGTGTAAAATCCATTTAGTGTCGGCCAAAAAAGCCTCTGTGCATCCATACATCTTCTTTTTGATATTCTGCAGTGGAAAAAATATGCAAAGGTTATTCAAGTGGTTAACCTTGCTTAGCACACAAAATAAGGAATGTTGTATTTGGTAGATTATATCTTTGTTGTAACAATGCTTTTGGCAATAAATCTGGTACTGRTCCCCTGATTGGCAGCTCCAGAAGCTCAAAATGTGTCAATAGCAACAAAAAAAAAGCTGTTTGGCTGAAAAGATTGGGATAATTTTTCATGTGTGCAGTCCACATATTCAACTCTACTGTTCATTCCACAAATGCTTCCTTACAAATGTGGCACCATTTAAAATGTAAATTAACAGGCTTTCCAACTGAATAAGACTCATGGGTTGTTACAACAAAGAATTATTCTACCAAACACGTGTCCTTAGTTTTTTTGTTTTAAGTTTATATTTAGTTTTAAATGAATGTGACAGCCTTGAGTTTACCTTTTCAAGTGTGCAAAGATCCATAGGATGGAAAATGTACTCTGCATAATCCGGATGCTGTTCAAGAGACACAGGTTTCTGGAAGGGTTCAGTCTATTGAGTTGAGTCAACAGGACAAAAACAAAACAAAAAGTTAAACAAACACTAAAGCTGAGCTCACAGATTTTCCATCAACTTCACACCAACATGCTACCCCCCTCCCCCCAAACCAGTAAAAATCTTTAATTGCAGCTTCAGGGAAAAAAAAAAAAAGAAGAAGAAAAAAAGAAATCAGTGAAGGAAAGAAATCATGACGGGGTCTTGTTAGTGATGTAATTGATTACCCAATTAAAAGTCTTTCTCTGCGAGGAAGCTGCATGTGGGGAGCGAGATGACAAGCGCGGATGATCCTGAAAGAGAGTGAGAGGGGCAGCTGTATGCTCACCACCAGCTAGCATGTTTACTGGTTTCCAGCCACGACAGGCCCGTTAGAACACATTCAAACCTGATTAGTTCTGTTACTGCAAATCAATCGTCGCATGCAAATCATTTATATATACACRTGATGCTGGACTGAAAGGTGAACTTCAAGGTGCAGATTTGACACAAACCGAGGTGTTTTAGTTGCACAAGCGATTTCAGCGTCAGTTTATATTAAAGCATTGGTGCAGGTGTTTAATTTTAAAATGAAAACCAAAAAGAAACAAAGCACTCCAGCTATAAAAACCCTGCCTGCTTCAACACATTTYACCCAAGACAGACAGCTGTTACACCATACTTACACCTGGTTGTTTCATTTTTTGAAGGGCAAACTTTAGGAGGTAAGAGAGCTGCTCTATCGTTAGCATCATCATGGCCTTGCTCTGAGTCTCTATACACTCAGCAACTGTTATCTTCTGAAAGACATWAGAGGGAAAAGAACATTTAATTTACATTACATAAAAATATAAAACATTCAAAGGTCCTGTATGTTTTTGCTGTTAACGTCCATACTCACAATTATTTGAACAGATTAGATTTTGACTTTATTTTTTCCAGCAGTAAAAACTTGTCACATTTCAGGGTTAGTACCTCACATTCGGGGCAGAACCAGTCGCCCTCGGGCTCGGCTGGTAGYTTGAGACACTTGGCGTGGTACACCCTGGGGCAGAGCTCACAGCAGAGCACCTGGCCCTCGCGGTGGCACAGCCAGCAGTAAAAATCATTCCTGCCGTCCTGCGGTACAACATCAACAGGGTCTGTGGTGAGTGCTGGCTGCTTCGCATAGTAAAAGGGACCATGTCTGAGCTCAGACTGGAACACAGGCAAAAGAAACACAAAGTTGGGGAAGATCAAAGTCAGGTGACAAGTCAAAGAAGCCAAGCAGACATGCACAAAGTATCAACAACACAAAATACAGACTCAAAGCATCAGCTCCCAGATTTCAGCTCATCTTCAAACATTTTGACTCAACATGGAAAAACCTACACGTGTTTCTGTAAAGGACAACCTAACACACCAGGGTGGTGATGTTAACAAATATGTTGTGCATTTAAAGCAAGAGAAAGTAAAATTTGCTTTATCAACAAAGAATCGGAAAATAATAACTGTAAGTTTTTATTTTCAACTCAGAGCTCAAATTTAATATTAAATCAGCTAAAAGCAAAACTGAAAGTCAACAGAATTATTRATTTTTGAAATGATGATGTTTGTTGTCTATTTAGATAAGTGATTAATTGGCAGATTTATCAGTGTTAGATGTGACTCTAGATCAGTAGTTACCAAAGCTGGTGTTAGGACCCYTCTGTGTGTAATGAAACATTAAGTGCGGGGTCCCCCATATATGGTTTTAAGACATCAATTTAAATACAAATAAATTGCTAATGGAATATTTTTTACCATGATTCTTATAAAAAACTAATAGTGGTAATCACAGATAAATATAGGTGGGTTTGTTTATAATTTTATTATGCCCATGTTTAACAGAGTTATTAGCAAATTTCACATGTAAACTGGTGTCGCAAGTTTCTGCAAAGTTATTGTTTGTGCTGGAAGCTAAACAATTTGAAAACCATGACCCAGACTGTTGTGTTAATTGCTTCCTGTGAGTAGGCTGGCTTTGATAGAAGGGTTGCTTATTTTGGCACAACACCAGCAGAACACAAAGGAAGTCAGCGGGGATATTACGCTAACATTTGAAGGATCAACATTGTTTCTGGCAGGAAAATGATGAGTCTTTCATTTGTAAAATCCTGGAGGGTTGCCAAAGACGTTTGCGTTCTGCTAACTAATAACTATCACACTCTACTGTGAGCATTATCCCAAAATTCATCAGTTGCTATTTTATCTTATTTTATTTTATTTTATTTTTCCCAGTAAGACAGAACAAATCAAAGTGTGCACAGATTCACACTCCGTCAGCATGCACATTAGGAACTAATAATATTCACGTTATGACAAGGATTTCACTTGATAAAACCAGGAAACAAAACATCTCAAATTACAAAATGTTGATCAAAAGCTGAGAGGTTTAATTACACAAAAATACAGACTATAAAACTCAAAGAACAGGCTGCCATTCATGGTGTTTAGTACATCAGTCTGAGCTACAAAAACGTATAACACCCAGGATGTGGAGCTCAAAAAGAGGCAAGCAAAACTTCAAGGGTTGCTAAATGACCACTGATGTAGTAGAATCATAATCTAACACTGACTGTTGCACAGACAGAGTGCAGGAGGCTTGTCTGCTCAGTGAACCAAACAAGACTAAACAGGCCTCAGGATATGACAGAACAAGTAGTGCTGAGCCCAACCATGTCTTTTTATTCTTTTATGTTGATGCAATCCATACCAGCGCATCAGCACAATCTATTAAAAGTAACCTGCATCTGAAATGCAGCTGATGCTGTTATGATTGAGCTAGGTTGGTTTGAACCCCAAGATGCAGAACTGAGTGAGGTGGCAAAAAAGTGATTTATTAAAACAAAAACAAAGGTGCTGACATGGCAGCAAACAAGAACAAGAGCTTTGGACAGGAACATGAACATGAACACCAACACCAACACCGTCCATGAACACCAACACCAACACCAACATCAACATCAACATCAACATCAACATCAAACAGAAAACAAGAATCTGACGAACAATGAAGACACTGAACAGAATACAAAGGGAAAACTAATGAGCTAAAACAAGAAACACCTGGGGAAGATACATGAGGATCAGGTGTGAGTGGGCGGGGCTGGAGCACAGGCAGACAGGAGGAAGAAAACAGATGACAAGACAGAAAACTGGAACAAAACAATAACAAAGACACCAATCATAACAGATGCTGAGAAGTTTCACAAAACAACATAAATTCACCTAAATGTGAAATCAATTCTAACTTTTTCATTTAACTGAATTTTTTTAATGTGTCTTTTTCTTAACTTGTTTTATGTTTTATACAATATTTTCTTTTCCACACCATTTGACAGTCTCTTTCTGTTATGTTTATGGACAAATAAACAAATTTATACCAAGTTCAGCATATCCAGTGTGTGTGTTTTTTATTTTATTTTTTTATTTAAAAGGTGAACTCAGGTTATCTGACGAGCTAAAAACAAACACAGATGTTCTTCTTGGGTTTGTTCATCGTCTTACAACATAAAAAACTGAGCAAACACCAAACAAACATGCTGACGTTTAGGATTTTAACAAGCTGTTTTAAAAGGCTGATCAGTGTGCATTGCCAATGCAATGCACACTATTGTGATTCGTTTCTCATCCAAGTCATCTCCACTTTGGCACGCTTCTCCTCCTGCATACTTTGTCCTAGAGCTGCCATTGTAATATATATTTGTAAAGCTCCTGTGCCAAATGATGGCTATGTCTTTTGGTGCCTGTACAACCTATAGTTTTTGAAATATTAATGTTTAATAATTTATAGTGGGAGTCAATGGAGCCTTGTATTAGTCCAATACTGCCCCCTGCTGTATCTACTCAGTACTGCACCATAGTTTAATAATATTTAATTTCAATACTTCAGGGTTTACAATACTAATATGATTGTATTTTGATGTATTACTATAATATTGTCCAAATATTGCTTTATTGTTGTAATATTTTTCAAATTAGAAACAACCATTACATTGGCAATATGGCCACTTTCTGCATACATACAAACCAAACCCTGGCCTCGTTCTAATGGTCTCATGGTTAGTGCCATGGGCTTTCATGTGGGAGATCAAGGGTTCGAAACCCAGCAACAGCAACTTTAACAGAAAATCTCTACAAACTTCATATTGTCACACAACTATCCTCATTACAAACACATGCTGACTTGACAAGCACAGGCTGGTATAGAAAACACATTTGTACTTGCTCACATTTCATTCTGCAAGTCCACTGCTGCAAGCAAAGCCATGCTGCAATGACATGCTACAAGGCAATGCACACTTGTTTTTACATCGTAAAAACCCATGTCTAGTTGTAAATGTGTTCTGCTCTGTGGATTTGGTTTGTGAACATATTAAAAATGAATATCTGCAAATAATCTGGTATTTTTTGTTCTTTGCATTCATGCTGTTGCTTGTTTGTTTGTTTGTTTGTTTGTTTGTTTGTTTGTTTGTTTGTTTGTTTGTTTGTTTGTTTGTTTGTTTGTTTGTTTCACCTGCAAAGAGGAAGCTATTTCTCAGTTTGTACAGTCACTGGTTAGTTTTTGTCAGATCTCTGTCATCCCTTTGTCTGTCTTGCTGGTGAAATATTGCAGTCATAATTCTGTCTCAGTCTGTTCAGTTCAGTTGTTATTTGACTGTCTGCCTCCATAATGGCCTTAATCAGCTTAATACTTTTTACTAGTTCATCAATTATGCAAGAAAATGTTCAGTGTTTCTTGAACAACCGTGCAACACAAACCACCACCTAGTCACAGAAGAGTGTTCTATTTTATGCTTTAAAAACTAATAATTAACTCAACTTAACAGCTTAATAAAATGTACCAGTAGTTGCAAATGATCTGAGACTTATGTATTTCAAAATATATCAAAATAAATGTTACAGTATAATTTCCAGAAATAAATGTTTTTAAATGTTTAATCTGTTCATTCAAACATTTATCTATCATTTATTATCATTTATTTGCTGACCAACATTTTTTTAACGTGAAAAAAATCTAAAATTTGATTTCAGCAACACCAAAAATAAAAATAAAAAGACAGAAGAAGAAAGGCAACAACAGACTTGTTTACAGAAACAAGAAACACAAATTAGGAAATGATTTCAATCAGCAGAATATTGGTGGCAGGAGAGACAATTTCCACTCAAGTGAGCTGAGTAAATGTAAAGCAACTTTCACATCTATTTTTAAAGAAAATGTAAAAGTTGCATTACACTTACATTCATGAATTGATTAAGTAAATCCAACAGTATGTTTTACTGAGTGTAGGCAGATCACTGGTTGAAGAAGCACTTTTATGAACAGTAATAATATTTACTGATGACTTTAAGGTGAAAAGCTTTAATTTCCGTTGCATTATCTGCAACCGAAAGCTATTTAAAAACCATCTGGGAAATCCTGTTACCCAAATATGTCTGAAGTTTCCTTTTTCAAATGTCAATAAATCTTAAACAGATAAATATGAGATTTGGACCAATTTCCCAGAGGTCATCCAGATTAGCAAGACAAATCCAGCCATATCTCATGGCTTATGATATTAGACTTAAAGGCTGATTCATACGTCCACTCTCACATCTTGCTTTCAGTCTTGTGTAATGAAAATGGTGTAACATCTTATCGCTCTGACACCTGTCTTGTACATACATTACCCACAGTCAGAACTCTGTCGGTGTGTGATTGGTCAGAACTTTGTGGGCGTGTTTGTTTATGTGCAGCGGTGTGTGCTCCTGCAGGTCATCATACACGTCAACTTGTACGGATTGTCCGTAAGTCATAAGGATTTTACATCATTTTGCAGGTATACGGACGTATAGAGCAATCTCTCTGATCTTTTCAACTCTTACGGATTTTTATCAAAACCTCATTTTCAAATTTATCTAACATGTCAGAGCCTGTAGGATGATTTAAAAACAATAAATAACATCACATAGCCATTTTCCAACCTGTTCTGCCGCTAGAAATAAGTTTTGAACTTTTTCCGCTGTCCTCTCCTCCTGCTTCGCAGCAGGCGCTTTCATGTGCGCAGCTGACGGACCCCCCCACCCCCCACCCCCCACACACACACACCTGCGGGTGCGAGTTGTACAGATTTTTAGCAAAATTTACAGATTTTTGAGGTTTTTTATACAAAGAGGTTGACATGTATGGGTCATTTTTGTTGCAAACAGTTTAAATCAGCTTCAGAAGGTGGTTGTTAAATTAGCAAAATGGAATGTGCAACCAACGTTCATGTTTTCTTTCCATCCTACTGAGCTTCATTTACAGAGAAGCACAGAAAATATATTGGTAAAAAATATTGAAATATATCTATTACTTTAACTGCGGATTTCTATAAATTAAAGAAAACACAGGCGTAAACTTGAAGCACTTCAGATCACTTTATAAAAAGAAGCGTAATGAACAATTTTAGATTGATTTTGTTTAGTTTCACTACAAGAAGATGTTTAATAATGAGTCAGAAAATGATATTAATCAGTAACACCACCACACATCACACCACAACTACTTTTACTCCTGTCTGCTCCCTTTAAGAGTCGCCACAGGGTATTATCTGCTTCCATCTTACCTCTTCTGTCACACCAACCCTCTAAATATCCTCCTTCAACACATCCATTAATCTTCATCTTCTTATTCTTCATCTGCATGTTTAAAACCATTTGAGCCCTGCCTCTGAAGGCCCAGTCACAATAATGTTTTAGTCAACTTATCCTTCACATTGAAACTGATTTATCACAACTGATCAGCATTTGTTCCTCATGTAGCATCAAAGAAATAAAAACACAGTCTAATGTAAGTAGCTTGAATTAGAAAAAGAGAAACTCACAAAATAGTATTTTAATAGTTACTCAGATGTCTTTGCAACATTAGGGTGAGCTCGGTACCTGGTCCTTGCTGCTGACGGCACCTGGCTTTTTCTTCTTTTTCACTGAGCAAGGCGAGGTTTCAGCAGAGGAGTGATCATTAGACGAGTGGGATGGACTGGAAATCTTTCGCTTTTGGGCCGTCCTTTCTGTTGTCCCAGCATCTAAAACACACAAATGTCAAAGTTTAAAAAAGTAAATAAATGATTTTCTTAAAGCATAAATGTAGGAAAATCGGCTCATTTTGCTAACCTTAAGCTGAAAGCAGTAAAATACTAGGACATATAAAAAACACAGAACATAAATTCAAACGTGTTTCTACACAAACTGGCACACTTGGACGTTTGTTTAAAAAAATAAGTTTGCTCTGTGTTTTTTTACCTTTAGATCTTGTGGAGATCTCCATCCCTTCTGTCGCAGCCTCTTTTACTGTTTTTCCCTCCTCTGGCACACTGGTGAACAAAGAGCACCATTAGTGAGATATCAAATATATATCCTATTAATTTATATAAGTAGCAAATTGAAGTGTAAAAAAAAAGTCAGGTTTTATCCTCTAGTAAAAAACAAAAAACAAAAGTCCCCTTAAAGATCAGAACATCAGTAATACTCAGTGCTCCGGTTTATAGTAGGACTGTTTTAAAGTTTCTAATTCCTGATTCATCCTGTTCACCTTCCCAACAAGTCATGAGTTCATCACAGGACCAGGAGCAGATGGTTGTGCAGCTATCAGACTGTAAACATTTAAAACAGAATGACAAATAAACACGAACTTGCCTCCATTTTCACTTGTTCATGGATGAAACTAATATGATGTGAGCCTATAAAGTCCCAAACACTTTGAACAAAAAAGACCAAAGCCAAAGCAGCTGACCTGGTCTCTCATGTGGGAATGATCAACTCTGAGAGTGAAGAGCATGTGACGGTTCACAGATCAGCCTTTAAAATAACAAAACTGATTTCAGCAGACGTTTTATCTGCTCTAATGCTCCCCTAGCTTTGTAAATGTATATTTATTGTCAAAGTACAGCCCCTGAGTAAGACACTGAGCAGAAAACTTTTACAGTTTCTCCTTCTTGACAGAAAAACAGCAGCAGTAAAGTTTGATCCAAAGTGAGCCTCTGCTTTTCTAAGCAGCAGCAGCTTGGCTGCATGCTCACGCCAACTCACAAGCAAAGTTCAAACACAGCCTGATTTTATTAAGAGATGCACTATGTTTAAAAACTGCCTCGGTCTGCTTTAACAGCCCTGATGCTGGTGTCTGAACTGTCTCCTCAACATGAAGTCAGGTTACTGAAGCTTGGTAACAAAACTTTATGTTTCTTATATCAGGTGGTCTAAAGGAAGAAAACATCTGGAACAAGCAGAACTGTGGACACTGAGAATCAGGGTTTGGGACCACTTACTTGTTCAAATATAGAACGTTTTCTAAGTTCATTTTCAGCATTAAAATTGTCACAATTTCTAAAAAAAATATATTTATAAATCCAAAAAAAGACTTTTATTATTTATTTATTTGACACAGAGTCACTGTACCTTTTAAATAAATCTTTTAAAAGAAGAGCTGCATGGTACCAGGTTCTAGCAAGACAAAGCTCATTTCCTTCCTGTCTCTGGACAGGTTGATGCTACTCAAATACAGCTTAACCAATTATGAATTGGTGAAGAACCAGCAAAAGAATTACTTACATACATTTCCGATAAATCATTAATCACATCCCACTAAAACCAACCAAACAAACCAAACTACAACCCTTCATAAACAGTTCAGAAAACCATTTCTTTGCCTAATGAGCATATCAACGGAAGAGCATTGCATTTACTGAATAAAAAAATTAGGACTCCTGATCTCATAATTACATGATCAGAATCTCAAAATTACGAGAAAAGATCTCATAATTTTGAGATCTTATCTCATAATTACGAGAAAAGATCTTATAATTATGAGATATTTTCTTGTAATTATGAGATATCTCATTATTATGAGATCCTGATCTTGTAATTACATTTTATCTCATAATTACGACATCTTTTCTCGTAATTATGAGATAAACATAGATTTTATGTTGATGTTATGAGATATTATCTCATAATTATGAGA